TTGAGCCTCTTCACTCCACTTAAATTGCCCCTTTTTGAGCAGTTGAGTGAGTGGTTTGGCTATCTCCCTATACCCTCTCACAAACTTCCTGTAGTAACCAGTTAATCCCAAGAATCCTCTCAGTGCCTTGACTGATTGAGGAATTGGCCAGTCTTTCACACTTTGTATTTTAGAGGGGTCAACTCCTACTCCCTCCTTATTGATCACATGTCCCAAATACTCCACCTGCCTCTGCCCAAAGCTACATTTAGATAACTTTGCATATAAGTGGTGTTGCTTCAGTAATTTACAAACCACTTCCAAATGCTCTAGATGTAGCTCCACAGTTTTGTTGTATACTAGTATATCATCAAAGAAAACCAACACAAAATCCCTTAAGTGTTCTCTGAGCACATCATTCATGAGTGATTGGAATGTGGCAGGAGCATTGGTGAGCCCAAATGGCATTACCCTAAACTCATAATGCCCAGAAGAATTGACAAAAGCAGTCTTCTCAATATCAGTTTCCTTCATTCTGATCTGGTGATATCCAGCTCTCAGATCTACTTTTGAGAACACTTTAGCTCCTCCTAGCTCATCCAGGAGATCATCAATCAGTGGTATAGGATAACCATCCTTGATAGTCATAGCATTAAGCTTCCTATAATCCACACAAAATCTCCATGATCCATCCTTCTTCTTTACAAGTAGGACTGGAGATGCAAATGGACTGTTACTAGCTTGTATGATCCCTGTCTTCAGCATTTCTTTAATCATTTCCTCTATCTCCTTCCTTTGCATATAGGGGTATCTGTAAGGTTGTGACTTGAATGGACTGGCTCCATCATTGAGGGGTATGGTGTGTTCAGTTTTTCTTCAAGGTGGCAATGTAGTGGGGGTTTGAAATACACCATCATATTGACCTAGTAATTTGGTTATTTCAGAAGGAGTTTTATCCTTGGGTGGGGAGCCCTCTTCTCCTTATAAGATGAAAAAAACACCCCATGTTTAGTTCTTGATTCTGTAGCATTCCATCTAGTTCTTCTCCATTGATCATATTGAACTGTGATATTAGAGCCATTCCTTGCAGTTTGATCTCCTTCCCTCCTTGCCTTAGAGTGATACAATTCTCATTGTGATAAAATGATACTGGCCCAAATTTCTTCATGAAATCCACCCCTAGAACTAGATCACATCCTCCTAATTCTAGTAAAGTGACCCCCAGGCAAAAGTTGTAACTCCCCATTTCCCACTGCAGATTGGGGCAGATGGAATCAAATTCCACTTGTTGCTTGCCAGCAACCTTCACTTTCATCTTCTTAGTGTATACTCTCTCAAAATTCATTTGGATGGCAGATTTGGGGTCCAAGAAGCTATGAGATGCTCCTGTATCTAACATAATGGTGATTAACTTCCCTTTGCACTTGTCTAACTACTTTAATTGTGGTATGAGTTGATTGACCAGTAATGGCTTGAAAGGATATTTGCATAATCTCCTCCACTACTTCTTCCAGTACTTCATCTTCCCCCTGTATCCCTTCATCCGGATCTGCTTCATACTCAATGTAGAAGAACTTCTTACACTTGTGCCCAGGTGTAAATTTTTCATCACAATTGTAGCAAAGTCCTCTCCTCCTTCTTTCCTCCAGTTCATGGTTATTCAACCTTTTGGGCAACATTGCTCCCTTTTCAGGGTATTGAATCTTTAAGGGTTGTTCAGGCTGAGGTAACCTTGGAACCCTCTGACTGTTTGTTGCAATCCTCACTGAGCTTCTAATTTCCACCTTCAGCTGATCCACTATGTTTTCTTGCAGTTTGGCTTGAATGATGGAATGGGCAAGGGTCTGTGGTCTCATCATCTTGACCATATTCCTCAATTCTCCTTTCAATCCTTCTACAAAACACTCCACATAATAGCTTTCTGGCAAGGTTCTATGTTTCCTTAGCATTAAAGCCTTGAGCTGCTCAAACTTCAATCTATACTCCTCTACATTAGTCTCTTGATGAGTCTCTTGATGCAGTTTGTTAAACTCTGCCACCAAACTGACCCGTTCCTCCTCCATGAATCTCTCCAAAACCATATTTGAGAAAGCTTCCCGTCCTAAATACTCCATCCCTTCTATATAGTCAGAGAACCAATCCTCCACTTTTCCTTCCAAGTTCATTGATGCCAGATGCACCTTCTCCTCCTCACTCATAAGGTTTATCCTAAAATACCCGTGGCATCTCCTTAACCACGTTCTAGGGAACTGGCCATCAAACTTTGGAAAGTCCACTTTAACACTCCTCAAATCAGTATTTCTCAAAGGGATGTTAATGTTACCTCCTTCCTGTGGCATTTGGTGAAACATTCTCTGGATTCCTCGCTGGATTCTCTGAAGTATTACCATGAGCCATAGGTTCCTTACCTTTGCTTCCATTCATAGATCTGACCACTTCACTCATTAATCTTTGTATATCCTCCATTCTCTGGCTGGTTTCAAGCCTATTTCTCTCCATCTCCTCCCTCAACCCTGCCAGATCTGCTTGCATCTTCATGTTGAAAGTCATCTGTTCATCCACGAACACCTCTGCTTCTGTCCTCGTGTTATCACTTGATCCAGTTCTAACATGGCTCCTCGTCATCATGAATGAGAGGCAGATCCAGGAAAGACTGCTCTAGATACCAAATGTCACGAATCACTCTCAATAAACAAATAAACTCTCGGATTAATTATTGAAATTTCGGCTGAAAGATTGATTCATTCAAAGTGCAAAGTAGGGTTTACAATCTTTGAAGAAAAGAAGAACAAACTTGGAGACAAAGGAACCAAAACTCTACCTTATCTCTACATTAACTAAGCTAGACTAGAGTACTGATAATGCTTGCCAACCCCTCGTGTTTGTCTGCCCATTTATAGAAATAAAGCAACGGCTTTCTCTCCTTAGCTCAGAACACGCTGTGCATGTGATGTTGCCCATGCTGCTTCCTCGAAACGACGTCGTCTGACTCTCCCCTCCCATTTAAAGAAAACGTAATAAAAATAAAAGCGCGGGCGCGTTTTAATAAGTTAAAACGACGCCGTTTGAGACATAATAAAAGAAAATTAAAAAACGGGTAATTCCGTTACAGGGTGTCTCGTAATTTTCGAAAACTTAGAGATTTAATTCGAGTAAACAATTATCACCTCATTTTTCTATCAGAGACTAAATTATCTATTAGAAAATTTGAGTGTATCAAGAGATAATTAGGACTTCAGGGTGTAGTAGTTGAAGCACGAGGTTCATCAGGAGAGCTTGGTCTTCTATTGTCCAAAGACATCACTTTGGTTCTTTAAAGCTTCTCTATGAATCCAATTGATGCCATATTTACGATGTTGAGGTTTGGAGATTTACGAGTTTCTAAGGGCATTCGAAGGGAAACAAGAAATATTTGTCGTTGCTTTTGCTAAGAAAATTAGTAAGCTGCTAATCAAATAAACCTTGGCTTTGTGCGGGAAATTTCAATGCCATACTTAATAGTTCTGAAACAAGTGGAGGCCGAAGGACCCCGTTCAGTGATATGCATGAGTTTCGATCATGTTTAAATGATGCTGGTTAACTGATACGCGTAAAACCTACGTATGAAAAACCGTAAGTGTACAGTATTGTGTTTTGTAGAATAGTAAATTCCAGATATTGATCCACAGGGTATTAAGTTCTAAAATTTACCAAGTACCGTAATTATACTATTCTAAACTTTATCTAGATGATCAAAAATGGATGGGAGTAATGAAACTCCAAAGAAAAAATAAATAAAAACAACGGTCCGCCAGGACAAGCAAGGAATTCCGACGTGTGATGGCTTCTAGGGTAAAATCCACCAGTTTACTATCGATAAAAATCTCCAAATCCGAGTCTAATGTCTATTCTATATTTGCTAACCTAGACGCTAAAATACTCTAACCCCCGTCTCCAGTGTAGTTAGAGTCTACCCATAGGTCCGACGTCTCCGTTAAGTCCTTAAGGGTTACCCGAGGTGCATCACGTCTCCGTTTCCACAACCCAATCTATGTTTTCCTAAAATCAAACGAGAAATCCTCTTTTGAGTCATTCCCATTGACAATCAATTCAACTGTTGGCCAAACAATTGAAAGCATTTAATACAGAAAAACATAAACATAATCAAAGAACGACAAATAGATCACAGATCTGGAAATCAAAATCAATATATAGAAGGTTTTATTTCCCTAAAAGAAAATGCTCAGTTCATTACAAACATCACATCAAAATGAAGAACACGAGATCATAAACTAAACGTAAAGAAAAAGATTATGAAAAACTCGAGTCGAAATCTTCGTCGAAGCTTGCCACGGAGAACTGTCGGAAAACGAAGAAAAATCGAAGAAAAACTGAAGAAGAGTCGAGAAAAATTGAAGGGGAAGAAATGAAGGCCTCCTCGTATTTATAGTGGACTTGCAAAGGGACTTACTGTTTGGGTTCCTAGAATTGGTATTTGCAACTCATACTTATTTTTGTTTCTCTCTCTAGAAAAAATCACTCTCGTCACTAATTTGGCCTAAAATCATCTTTGTTGAACTGATATACGAACACAAATGAGCCCATCAGATGAAGATCGTGATACACATCACAACGAGGTAAAAATTTCGTCATTTCGTTCGAAAAATCTGGACAGAAACGGCGAAAGCCCAACCCGGGCGCCCGAAACTGTTTTACACGCCCAAGCTGGGCGTGTAAACCATCAACACACGCTCAAACCGGGCGTGCAAAACAGCTTTCCACGCCCAAACCGGGCGTGTGACACTGCTTCGGGCGCCCGGTTTGGGCGTCCCCCCCCCCCCCCCCCCCAATTTTTAATTTATTATTTTATGTGTTTTTAGGGAAACCAACACAATACGGCTGAAGTTGAAGTCGATCATACTGATTATTTTACAATAAATCAATTGTTTGACTCCAAGGACGAGCAAGTAGATTCGGAGAAGTCCGTTAGTAGAAATCTTTTTGTAAAGTTGATTACAAAAAGTGGCCCTAAACCTAATAAAATGTACCTGACTTGTGACCTATTTGGGGCGAAACGAGATACACCATCAACTAACCCAACTGCGCGCCAGAGAAGATGGAATGGTAGCAAAAAAATTCATTGTGGTTTTAAGGTTGCGGAAGTGAAACGGTTTGATGGTAGATGGGAGCTCAGAATATTTTATGGGAAGCATAATCATTACCCGGTATATATGTCTGGGCATGGGCTGAGTCCATTGTCGAAAAAGGAGTTGGAGATTATTAAAGATTTGTCAAAAAGTCATGTGCCGCCGAAGAAGATTATGGCTCACTTGAAACAAATGGGCTTGGGTCTCAATGCGTATATGAAACAAATATACAATGCAAAGGATCATTTCAAAAAAGAAGCTAGGGGTGACCATACAGTGATGCAACATTTGATTGTGTTGCTTGAGGAGCACAAATATTACATGTGGATTCGTACTGATGAAACAACACATGAAGTTATTGATTTGATGTGGGCTCACCCTCAATCTGTCGAATTGCTAAGTAAGTTTCCGTACGTTATACTACTTGACAGTACTTACAAAACCAATCAATACAAAATGCCTTTGTTGAAGATTGTCGGTGTTACTTCTGTGGGTCGTAATTTTACTGTTGGAGTAGTATTTATGCGCCATGAAAATGAAAACCATTATACTTGGGTATTGCAGAGACTGAAAAGACTTTACTCCCCAGACACTCTACCTAGTGTAATTGTGACTGATCGAGTGTTAGGACTCTTGAAGGTGTTAGAGAATGTATTTCCGACCGTGGATCATCTTTTATGTCTTTGGCACATTAACATGAATGTGGGTCGTCGTGCTGCACGATGTTTGGGCAATAGTAAGTCGCGAGGGATTGCATTCGTACGTGGCCCATGGCAAAATGTTGTAACATCCCTATGTGAGGAAGATTTCAACAGGAATTACATGACTTTGATGGACGAGTACGCAAATTATCCACAGTTGATCGAGTACCTCCAAGACACTTGGATCATATACAAAGAGAAATTTGTTCGTGCATGTACGGATTATATTTTTCATTTGGGCAATACAGCGACTAGCAGGTATTTATTTTTTGTTAAATACAAATATGTAACTTAATGCTATTTTGTGTACTAAAACGTAACATATTTAATCATATTAGGGTGGAAAGTAACCATAGAGCATTGAAGAGATGGTTGGATGCGTCCACATGCGGATTTGACACATTTTGGGCACAATATCATTCACAAATAACAGATCAGCTTAATGAGATCCTGAATGACTTTGCGAAGTCAAAGAGGATTCGGGCTAAGACGATTAATGTGCCTGTGTTTAAAATTTTGTCCGGTGGAATTGTAACTCATGCCGCTCTGAAGCTTTTGGACGCTGAGATGGAGACAGGTTTAGACAGCTACACTCATTTTCTGAGGACAACTTATGGCCTCCCATGCAAACATGAAATTGATATTAAGGTGAATTCGCGAGGTGATTTGTTTTATGCGGAGGATGTTCACTTGTCTTTGAGGACAACAGTTTTGGTGGATGGTAACCAAGAAAAAAATGTTGGTTCCGTTTCCGATCACAGGACACAGGCTATTTTTCAGCTCGACGGATTAATTGATGAGCTGCGTCAACGGTCTGAAATTGAAATTATTGATGTGACAGGTGTAGTTTTCGAACGAATGCATCCTGGGGAGAAGGAATTAAATGAAACACCAGTAGTAGACCGCCCGAGAGGCAGACCGCAGAACGACTCCACACGTAGGGATAATTCAGCACATGAGTATCCACTATACCCCACACCGGACGAAAATAACGCAACTGGACGAGGACGAGGACGAGGACGAGGCAACAGAGGTCGTAGTGCATCTTATGAAAGATCTAGCAGAAACTGTAGCCGTTCATCGACTGAGAGTGGACCCGAAATGGTACGAATGCCCCAACCTGATTTTTTGCGAAATCTTCATTTCTGTCGTGTTCCTGAGTTTGTGACATGGACGTACATTCGAGGGGATGGTAATTGTGGTAATAGAAGCATTGCATGTGCAGTGAAAGATCACGAGGTTGGATATTTATAACTGTATGAGAGGAAACGAGGAGTTGTTCAAGGATTATTTCGGTGGTGGTAATTATGTATATCAAGTGTTGGCGAAAGTCGCCCATTGGGACAAAGCTCAAGCACCAATTGAAAAGTGGATGACCGTCACGGACGTGGGCGTGGTCGTAGCAACATGTTACAATGCTTTGGTGTTGTCGGCTAGTAGTTTGGGAAATCAGACTTATTTGCCACTTTGGGGTCCCGAATGTGTTACACAGCTATCTTATCAGATGACTATATTGCATCTTGAGGCAGGAAGTCAGTTTGTGTATGTGAAGATGACTGACAATTATCCACTTCATCCATTTAACTTGCAGTGGCGGAGGTACATCAATGATAGTGTTGCATATTTGACAGAAGCGTTGCGAGGTAGACGAACAAAAGTTTTCCGAGCAAGTAAGCGATATATGCTCGTACGCGAAACTCTGGTGGAAACGTAGGATTGTTGTCGTACATCACATCCAACTGATCAAACCGGGGGCCACCAGCGTACCACCACTACTCCATAAGGGCATCGTCAATACCAAATGCTTTCGCACCTGCCTCAATCGTCTGTGCCTTATTCATGTTAGTGTTAGGGCGATGTCCATGAACTGGCAAATGCATTATGTAATGCACATCGTGAAGAGTAATTATCAACTCTCTGAACGGCATAGAAAAAGTGTTGGTGATACATTGTGAAGAGTAATTGTTTGGCTGCCACCTCTCAATAAAAGCCTCGATCAGCGGATTATTGTGCTGAGGGAGAGAACAATCACGCAGGTGATACAAGCCCGTATTCTGTAGTAGTGAAACAGAACGAGCATCGATGGGGCCCGACCAAGTCGACTTGCCGTGCGACCACAACTTAAGCATATGTCGTGCATGTTCAATATATATTCATATTTAAGTATTACACAATCAAGTATAAACACTTTAAATAAAATTAATAAGTACTATCTTTCCCTCCCAGATGTCGTAGGCAACGTGTGCTCCGAAACTCGGAATCAACTCAGGCAGCTCAGGTCCACCGGGTGCCCGACCAGTGAATCGCCAAGGTCTAGAAGGAACCTTAGGTATCCGAACAGGGCGGGATTTAGGATTTTGGACAGGAGTAGAACCACCGGGAGTAGTAGCAGCTCTAGTCAAAGTAGAAGGCGGAGTCAGATCGTCCTCGTCATCGTCATCTAATGGAAAATCAGGAGCCGGAAAATGATACTGCCCCTGAAAATGTACTCCTCCATCATCCTCGCCTCATGCAGATCCATATGTGCATTCATCTCCGCCTCGGCCTCCGCCTCTATCGCCGCAAGTGCTCCTGGTTGTTTAAAAATTACTATTATTTCGCCATGCTGCATAGAACTAGTAACCTTTCGGTTATGTGTTCTACCCTCTCGTATAGCAGTAGATTTTTCCACCGGATCCGCAGGGGAACGAATCATAAGCCCATTCCCTTTTCCCATTTTCAGTTTTTAAATCCAATTAGACATCCTGCAAATATAAGAGATATTGAAATAAGTAAAATTGAAATTATAAAAAAAAAACATTGAAATAAGTAAAAATGAAAAAAAAATATAGAAATAATTAACATTGAAATTATAAAAAAAAAACATATTGAAATAAGTAGAATTGAAATTATAAAAAAAATATTGAAATAAGTAAAATTGAAATTATAAAAAAAAAGATATTAAAATAAGTACAATTGAAATTATAAAAAAAAAGATATTGAAATAAGTAAAAATGAAATTATAAAAAAAATATAGAAATAAGTAAAATTGAAATTATAAAAAAAAAAGATATTGAAATAAGTAAAATTAAAATTATAAAAAAAATATTGAAATAAGTAAAATTGAAATTATATAAAAAAAAAGATATTGAAATAAGTAAAATTGAAATTATCAAAAAAAAAAAGATATTGAAATAAGTAAAATTGAAATTATCAAAAAAAAAATATTGAAATAAGTAAAATTGAAAAAAAAAATGAATAAATAAATAAATACACAGCAGAACGCCCAGACTGGACGTCCAAACCGGACCCGGACGCCCAAACCGGGCGCCCATTCCCGGACCGGACACCCAGACTGGGCGTCCACACTGTAAAAGAACACCAAAATCGGGCGTCCACACTGTAAATCTTTTTGAATCAGCTCAATCGGAGTTCGATGAAAGAGTTATGCGTCAAATACCGAACACTGCCATAGTTCGCTAGAATGCACTTTTGCACGTGTTTGGTTTGGTTCTCAACTTCGCTTCCAAAATCGTTTTGAATCGGCAAAAATAGCTTCTCTTTACCTAAAATTTAAATAAAATAAGAAACGCATGATATGTACAGATAAAGCTGAAAACTCAGACGAACGAAGACCAAAACTCGAAGATTCGATAAGTAAAAATCGTGTAAAATGAACACTTATCATTAACTGACTTGGGTTTTGTGGGTTTCCCATTCACTTGGACGAATAAAAAGAAACATCCAGACACAACAATGGAGCAGATTGATCGAACATGCGCAAACGAGTAATGGAAGAATAAGTTTTAGGGATTTCGTGTGACACATCTTGAGGCCCTATACTCGGATCATCTTCCGATACGAATAGATATTAAGACAACCAGTTGTGGGAATAATAGTCGGAAGCGTGGGGGATTTAAATTTGAAACCATGTGGTTGAAAACATTGTTAGAGTAGGTGACCAACAAGCCAACTTGTGGCTGTGGTTTTTCCATTTATTATTGTAATAAATAATCATTTTTCGTATTAATGATAAAACACCTTGGCATTCTATATCTTTGTCCCTTTGTCACAAGCATATATATAGTCCTTATAGTTATTACAAGTACTAGTAATTGATCGTTAGGATCATGAGATATTTACTTTAGTATTAAAACTGTTAAACGTGTTCCTAGTCGAAGGGTTACGCCACCAATGACGATATCGGCCTTTCCCATTAAGAGACTAGCACTTAGTGTATGTGTACTGTATCTCATCAGTAAACGGTATTGTGATATCCGCATGCATAAGTGGGTGCTCGTAAGTTCACAAGTTCACTGAACTCCCTCACACTAGAAATCTCTGAGTGATTCTCAATAATCGAGTAAAGATATCTATGGTATAGTTGTACACCATTAGTCCTTATGACCGAGACATCACCGTGACTTCACTAGAGGACCAGCTGTATCGTGACCTGTTCCTCAGTTCTACCGAGGACCACCCCAAGGGCCAGACGTTCGAGCAGTCCAAAATCTAGTGGGTCTGTGCATTGTGGTCGGGCATTCGATCGCTAGAATAGTCTTGGATGTCCTGTTTGTTCTCATAGTTTGTAATCTCTAAAGTCTCTGGCCAGAGCTGACTAAGTGATGATTAGAGAATTCGATTCTCTAAGTCATGCACGTAACGATTACAACACTTAGAACGACCGCACAGTCATTGAACTACTAAGGAGGTCTCAATGAACAAATGCCTCTAGTTCAATTGGGACATATGAATCGAAGGGATCGTACTGTATGCTAACTATATCAAAAGGTTCTTGCGGGCACTTCATTTGTATGTAGGGAATCATGACACGTAGTTGCTAGACGTCAATCTTGATTCGTTGGGTAATTAAGGTGAAATGAGCTTAATCTTAATCGTAACTCTAAGGGACGAGTTTTGACCATAAAGGGTTGTGGGCCCACGACTAGCTTACACCTGAACCATCGAGGGTCACACTGCTCGTGCACATGAGATCTTTGAATGAACGTTCAGCGATGAAAAGTATTTTATCTTTGCATGATTGGAAGTCAATATGATTGGGTCCAACATTCGTAATTTGGAATTATGAATGAGAATAAGAAAAGGAATAGAATAGGTGAACATCTTAGTGGACTTTCTAAATCGGGAAGTTTCCAAATTTAGAAAGTGCACTGAATTAGGGTTTCCACTTTTAGAAAGCTGAAAATCGAGCATTGGCACTCGTAATGACGAGGACATTATAATGATTCCGAAAATGTAATCGTTAAAATTTTCTGATCATTGAATTGAGAGAAACGAGCGAATGAATAACTAACGAACTTAAGTTGTTGGGCCCGGTCCAACTTAAGCCCGTTAGGGCTTTTATGCAAGACACTATAAATACTTGATTTATAGGTCTTACACACACACAACTCAAAACACAAAATCCTAGCCGCTCATATCTCTCTCGGCCAATCTCTCCCGCGGCCATCACCGCTGCCGCCGCCGCCGTCAAGTCGCCGGAATTGGCCTCCCCTTGGCCGATTGTCTTGGTAGCTCTTTTCTCTTTTCGTTTCTTCCGTTTTTTTCTAACTATTGCGTGTCTAGTGCCACGTTTTAGTAGATCGAAGTATACGAGGTGAAATCCGAGAGGAGGAAGATCGAAGAATCGAGGAGCAGCCCCCGAGCCAACGACGCACGCGTTCTCACGCGCCGCCCGAAGATAACGCGTGACCGCTCCCGGATTGCACGGATTGGTTTCCGTGGAAATCTTGCTTCATTTCGTGCGCCTACCTCACGCTTCAAGAGGTAAACTTTCGAACCTGGTATTTGTTCGAAATTAATTTAATTAGATTAAATTATGCATGATCGTTTTCGTAGTATGTTTTATGAATTTGTATGTTATATGTGATTACATGAAATTCGTAGTTTACTGCGAGCATGTTAATTGATTTAATGCGAGCATGCTAATTGATTTACTGTCGATTAAATAATTCGCATGTATGTTGTTTTTAATTTCGCTGGAAGCGCAAAGGTACGCAATTAATTGTTTACAATTATCGGGCATGTGATTATGTGATTTAAATTTGTTTAAATTCGCATAAAATTTTTGTTTTCCGCTGCGTACACGTGTCCGATTCCCAGCAAACATTTGATTGCTCCAAAGTTGATGAAGATCACTGGGTGACCAGTGTATTGTCCGTCGAGCAGGAAAGTCAATGGAGCAATCTGGAGCAATTTAAATAGGGGTTGATAAACTGGAGTAAGAATTCGTTTAGCCGTGTTACTAAATGGATCAAAAAGTTAAAAGATGAAATCTTGAGACTTCAAAAGAATACAATTACAAATGAGATTAACCAACAAATAAAAAAGTTTGTGGCAGAGTTAGAGGATTTGCTTGATAAAGAGGAAATGATGCGGCGACAACGAGCAAGCCCCATTGGATAAGGGAGGATATCAAACTTGTGTTATGGTCTCAATCTCTACCAACCATGACAATTTGAACGTGAATTATATTTCTGCAATATTGGTTAAGACATTGTGAGAATCCATCTTGCGAAGTTTTGGTAGCCCAACAGAGTTACTAGTGTGGATGAAACTTATTTCCGGCGGGTCAACATCCTCATCCTCGAGTGATGCAATTGATATATAAAATGGATTTTTTTGGCGTATATTGGTATAGACGCATGAAATTTGTTTTTCACCTCATTACTGCTTTGGTTAAGAAATGGCGACAAGAGACACACATCTTTCATTTTTGTGTCGGTGAGGCACGGTTACATTACAAGATATTGCATTATTGTGAGGCCTACCTATAGATGAGGACCTAGTCATCATTTCTGATGATGTACACTCTACAAACAAATGGATCAGCTATTGTGGAGCATTATTAGGTTTTCGCCTTGAATCTGATGACCTTAGCCGAGGGAAGTTAAATGTTTTGGCCCTTAAAAAATAATTGGTTGACAATTATGTCGATGAGCCTAGTTCATATTTACAAAAACTCAATAAACTCGGGCATTAACATTTATGGCATTTGGTGGGATTATGATTCCTGATAGTACTGGCAATGCTATAACTTTGATGTACCTAAAGCATTTGGAGGACCTCGATGCAGTTTTTCTTATAATTGAATTAGTGCCACATTGGCGATATTCTATCATGAGTGATGCGAGGCGACAATACGAGGACAAAGTAGAGATGTCGTTGGAGATTCGATGCAACTACTACATTTGTGGGCATGAACGAGAATTCACCATATAACACACCTATACCAGAACCACATGAAGATCACAATCCAGTTTTGGAGCTCAAACTAAACGAGGATGATGTATATCCAGTACCTTAATATGGTGCATGATAAAACTTTAACTATAGACAACTCCATATAATTTCCAAATTTTCACTAAACTAATACGATAATAAATGTATGATTCTATTATATGTGGTATTCATAACACATTGTAGTTGGTTGTATCATTTGCCTCATTTTCACACTGGTAGTCATTCAGTGGGCCATATCATTTGTTGAAATTTTTGATAGGGTCCATATCGTATTTTTTTTTTTTTTGTCTGTTGCTAATATTTTTTTAGAGTTCATATGAATCCCATATAACATCACTGGCATTGAGTACCAAGAATTGTCTTTGGAACGATGATTGTTTCACCAGTACATTGGATGTCCAATTATCAACTTATTTGTTATTCGTGAGCGGAGATGCATTGCCCGGAAAATATATTGCGGAAAGTTTGGGATGATACAACCACCGATCACATCCTACTATGTTCTTCTTTCCAGCCAATTACATGATTTTGGTCGTCAAGATCGATCGGGTCACGACTGGAGCGAGTATTTGACTACACATATTGTTAAATGGCAACAAAGATTTCGGACTGTCTTCTTTCAATGGACCACATACAATAGATGCTTATGAAGTGTAGTATGATGAGCATACTATTCATTTTATATCACCGATTGAAGATTTGAGGAACACATTTTCATACTGGAGATCGGACGATTATGAATTTTGTGGTACGTAATCTTTTATTTGTTTATTCAATTACATACAATTACTCTGCTTCTATACTTATGTTATGATTTCCTTCAGGCTAATTGGTTGGCCTTCATGAGCACCAATGTTGCCGAAATGCATCCTATGATTAATATACTCCGGAGGACCGGAATGCCTCGTGCCAGTGTCTATGATGGAGGAAGATAGAGGACTCATAGCCGCACTCAAAAGTCTACAAGAAGTCAATGAGAAACGACCGATTTCTCTTATGCACCTCATGTTCCACATGAAGACGTGACCGGTCCTTCCACGTAGCAAAATTATGCGGGTCCTTCCATATACCGAGATGAAGTTGGTCCTTCCACGAACCGAAATTATGCGGATCCTTCCATATACCGAGATGAGGTCGGTCCTTCCACATTTCAATCTTCATTCAATTAGCTCGATCTTAGTGATGATGTTTATATCCCGACCACATTTCCTGTGACTACACATCACTAACTCCATACCAACCTGCTATGAACATCTATTCATGGAGTGGATTGTTAGAGTGATACTTATATGGTGACGAGTCTCCGTGTATGCATTTTAATGTTTCTCCCATTCCCTATCACCTACCATCACCTCAAGATCATTCTACCGGATCTTCGATGAGTAGGAATGAGAACTTTGTTGTCGACACTATTGAAGATGGTATTCTGAACAACTAGTGGGTAGCACGTAGAAACATGAGTCCTCGTGTATGTGGGACTGGTGGAAATCTTTTATACATTTTGTTTTAAATGTTTGACATTTATGTATTTGACATATTTTACTCTATGCGTTTGACATGTTTTATTGTGTTTGATATTTGTGTATTTGAATTTTATGTATTTTTATATTTGTGTTTTTTAATTATCTGTGAAATTAAATCTCAAATCTCTAATTTAGAAAAAAAATTTAAAGAGTTGAAAGAAGTTAAAAATAATAAAAATTCGGATCTATAAAATAAATGAAATCAGTGCTGTCGGAGGCGATTTCAGTTTTAAATAAATAGAGAATTCAAATCGCACTTCGGAGAGGCGATTTGAAGTGTCATAATAAGTCGAAATCGCCTCTCCCAAGAGCAATTAGTCACCACATTTGTGTAAAAAATTGTCACTATTACCCAATTTTTAACTTATCCGAAGTTAGAGGGCATCCTACAATATATATATATATATATATATATATATATATATGATTGGAGTAGATGTAATAAAAGGTAACCTGCAAAACAATATTCGTTGGGGGTATAATTTAGATAGCATCCCAATTTTGGCATTCCTCATTGGAGACTATCTGACTGACTTTTCCCTTTTTTTTTTTTTCTTTTTTTTTTTCTTTATAGAGCATTTATATATAGAGGTATGTTTCATTTTAGACGATGAGCTAAATTACGGTACTTCCAATTTTGTGTCAGAAAATGGTAAAAATGTTAAATTACAGCTTTTACCACTTCAAAGCAATATATATGGTTGGATTGAATATGCTTTTACTACAGCAACAACACACTCTTCAATCTGTCGGAACCACATTATTATCATCGTACCAAACACCGCAATTCGTACGTATCGTTATTCTGCTGCAAAACAAAAACACCTTGGTATTTCTCATTCACTTTCTCTTGGCCTTCACCCTTCTGCATCTCTCTCTCTCTCTCTCTCTCTCTCTCTCTCTCTCTCTCTCTCTCTCTCTCTCTCTCTCTCTCTCTCTCTCTCTCTCAGTTCCTTTCAAGTGTTAGCAATTGCAGATCTGCTGAATTGTAAATTTGCTGCTTGGTTGACCAATTTCTCTGTCTCTTTCTTTATGGGTATTTTCTACTCATCTCTTGCATATCTGTCAAATTATTTTGTGATTAATTGGGGTTTTATTTAGATTGACCTCAATGTATTACTGAAGCTTATCGCTTAGTTTTAGTAGTGGGGGTAATAATAATTGAATATTTTTAGGGCAATTTGAAAATGTTATGAGTTTCAAATGAATTAGCTGTCAGGGAACATGATTAGGTTTTTTTGCCTGTGGATTTCATATAAAAGGGCAATTAATTATACCCAAGATTGATCTGTTTTACTCTTTATTATTTTCTTCTTTTCGAATTTGCTTCGCTTTTCGGCGGTGGGTATCTGTTTTTAGTTTTTACAGAGATTTGGTCAAATTTTGATTGATGGCTTTCGTTTGTAGGAAGTAAGTATTAGAACAGTCGACGCATTCTCTATCGTTTTTAATGTTTTTCATCTTTTATTTATTTCAGTTTCGGTTCTAGAAGATAATGCATTACGTGCAGACCGATCTATGACTAGTGAAAACATAATGAGTCAAGTGTCGAATACAGGTCAGTTAATTTTGGGGAAGCTTTGTCGATTTTCAATTTCTTTTTTTTTTAAATACTTAAACGTTTTCCTTCTAAGAATAGTTGTAGGTGCATGTTTTCCCGAGGATGTGAAGACGATTGACGAGCAAACGAACAGTCGTGGTTCTGTTGAAAGTATGGATACGAGTTGTGTTATACATGTGAGTTTTTGGTATTATTAGATCAAGTGATATAATTACTCGGTTTATTGTTCAAATTGTAATGTGAACTCTGTCCTAGAAGAATCTGAGTAGTTACAGTGTAAAGTTCGATGCAGAAAAATGAAGGCATTGTTGGGATAAATGGTCTTGTTGAAGGGGGCAAGAGTATTATTACATACCAAAGGAAGAAAAGACAAAAAACGACAGAGTTGTTGTCTGATCGACCCAAATCTTATCTAGAAATTATCGAGGAGTCATTGAAGGAAGATTTAGGCAAGGGTTTGAATTTTTCGGACAATGAACAAAAAGTACTGATTGTCAAGGCAAATGGAAATACAAGTGAAAGTTGCGATGATGCTGACGTGGCTGTGCTTGAACTGGAGGAACGTAGGACCGATCAAACAGACAATGATGACAGGGCGATAAATACAAGTTCTTGTGACGCTGATATGCTTGCAGTAAACCTAGTTAAGGAACACCCGAACGAGGTTGAGGAAAACGTCGGTAACGGTGAAGAAGAAAGTATTGGTAATTTTCCGAATGGTTTAAAAGTTGTAAACGGAAGCGTAAATGTGACGACGTATGCAGGGAAGAAGCTTCTTGTTCTTGATGTGAATGGCTTGCTTGTCGATATCAATTCGTACGTACCTTACGATTACGACCCTGACGAAATCATACTGAAGAAAGCAGGTGAGAATATAACTAACTTCAAATACTAATACTAATATGCTTCAAATTGGTTTCCTAACTTCAAATTTCGTCAGTTTTTAAGAGGCCGTACTGTGACGATTTTCTGAGGTTCTGCTTCGAGAGGTTTAATGTAGGTGTCTGGTCTTCAAGAACCAAGTACTCTTCGATCTTCGACTTATTTTTTCCGTCATTTTTTTTTAAAAAGAAAGTGATGTATTCTAATCTGCCGTGTGCTCGAACGGAACTTTTGCAGAAGAAATGTTGAGCCGATTCTCAATTTTCTTTTGGGGAAGGATAAGTGCAAATTGCTCTTTTGTTGGGTAAGTCGCATTTCTTGAAATGTTTACCAAATCATCTCGCTGTTATTGGCTCTCTTTGTGGATGCGAAGATTCTTTAATCGTACTCGATTGATGATGAGTTGTAGCCATTTTCTATGTCGATAATTCTTTTAACAATTTGCACCGTCTAATTACAACATAACGTTTTAATTTGCAGGACCAATCACATTGCACTAATACAGGTTATTATACTATTGAGAAAAGGTATAAGCCTCTTCTCTTGAAGAAACTTAAAAGGCTGTGGGAAAAGTTCGATCCCGATCTTCCGTGGGAGAGGGGATTATATAATGAAACGAATACTCTTTTATTAGACGACTCTCCTTATAAGGCCTTAACTAATCCTGTAAGTTTTAAGTTACATTCATTTTTAGCAGAGTTAAAGTGTTCCATGCAATTTCTTTACGTATAAGTTAAAAAGACTTACGTTTTTGTGTATACATGTTTGCAGCGGTATACAGCAATCTTTCCCTACAGTTATCGATTCAGAAATTTAGGAGACAATTCGTTAGGTCAGTTCTATAATTTCTGCTTTTCGTATAACTCATTTACATGTGAAACATCCTCTATATATGGAGTCAAACTATTAGATATAATAAAAGTGTCTATTGTATATCAAATATCTTTAGTTATGGTTATATAGGAGTATCTAAAATATTAATTCAGCGAAATTTTTCTCGTGTTGAAGTATCTACATTGTCATGGTAATGATTTGGAGAAACGAGCAAGTTACAAGTTCGAACTTTGTCGGAAATGATACCCCTTAAATAATTTATTATTTTGACTGGTTTAATTTCATTAAATTTGGAATTTTGCAATAATACCTATAAACATCAACATATATTACAAATGAAAATCGAGGACTCAATCATTACATGTGTAGTACCTCGTTATTATATATTGCTTGTCTGTTTTACATTTTGTACTAGGTCAACTACGAAAAGGACTAGACACCCTTAACTAGGTCCCGAAACCCGAAACCCCGAAACCCGAAACCCGAAACCCGAAAACCCGAAAACCCGAAAACCCGAACCCTGGTCTTGTTGGTCTCCATTATGTAGTGTCACGTTATATTATAGAAACCGAATGAATAGGTGGATATAGGTGTAACATTACATACGTCTCAATCAAGCTTTAGGGGTGCTACGATATATATAAAGGCTTACCTCAGTTGTAAAATATCTCAGATGAAAAGGTGACTTAAGTGTAGAGTGAAGTATCGAGTGAACAGCTGAGTTAAGGAGTCAACTCGACATGATATTATCTCGGGATTGAAGTTGCTAGAGTCACGACATAATATTGCATATTTGTACTTTGGATTATATATGTAATAATTTTCTTATTTTTGCAGGGCCTGGAGGTGATATACGCACTTATTTGGAAGGATTAGCGATGGCAGAAAATGTTCAAGAATACGTTGAGCAAAATCCATTCGGGCAAAGAGCCATAACCGAAAGAAATTTGTCGTGGCGTTACTACCTTAAGGTTATCGAAGCCAGTTCAACACCACCACGGCAAACTGACGACGAGGACAATTCTTTACAGTAAGCACTCTGAAACCGATGACTTGTATTCTTATCTAACTGCGATTCCGTTTCTAGTCAATGCTCCACTAAACTTTATTTAGTTAATCGAACTTCTGTATCATGGCAATGTGAGCTACCAAACTGTATATTTGATACATTATTAATTGTTACTTCTGTAATTTTATGTAACTTTTATGACCAATACATATAGTATTTTCTCCTGTAATGAAAGTTTAGATGAGTAAGGGAGGAAATCTGACATAACACATCTCAAAATACAGTTTCGGAAATCGAAAATTTATTCCGATGCCGGAAATTTTGAAAATTTTGCTACTTATATAATTTATGTTTTTAACTCTTCAACCTAAACTTCGTTCGACTAAGTTCTGCGGGAAGATGAGTTTTTTTGCAGCGGTCAGTTCTCTATCTATTTAGTTTTTTTGTGCACAATCCATAAGTACTCGAGTTTAATTATTTGAACTATGGAAAACGTAATAGACTATTTCTCAAGTCTTATTTTTATTTTTATGGGGTTTTTATGCATAAGTCACTGACCAACCATCTTTATTATTCTAGGTTCATCGGTTTTATCTCTTTCGCCAATAAGCCCATTCGTTTAATATGTATTATAAATAAAGGAAAAAATAATTTATATGACAAAATTACCCCCAACCCTTTACACCCAATTCTTAATTGTACCCCAATTTAATAAATTTTGACCACAAAAATCCAATTTTGACTTTTTTTTGAAACGTTTTTTTTTTTCTGAAATTCTTCTTTCGCCGCGTTGACTTTTTTTTTCCTGTCTGCTTTTTCCGCCGCCGGTTTCCAATGTTGACATTTTTCAGTGTTTTTTCCCTAAATTTTTTATCCGTTCTTTTTATGCACAATGCTGAACGTAGACCGTAATTGTACTGTCATTAACAGTAACTATACTGTCGTTGACAGTATTATTATTTTTTTGGCTTTTTTTTGTTTGATTTATTGACAAGTCAACGTAATTATATTACTGTCGTTGACGGTAAAATTACTGTAAACACAATAATATTACTGTCAACAACATCAATATTATTTTTTTGACATTTTTTGTTTTGTTTGAGTTGTTGACCGATTAACGTTATAATATACTGTCTACTATTGTAATATTACTGTAAACACAATACTCCCTCCGTTCCCTATTAAGTGTCGTTTTTGGCTTTGCACAAGGATTAAGAAGCTCAATAAATGTGTCTTGATTTTAGGTAAAATATATTAGAAAGACTAAAATAACCTTAAATTATTTAATGATGTGATAAGAGAGAGTTAATACTTATAGTTGAATTAATAAGGTTAAAACAGGAAAAAATGCATTTAATGCAGTATTGGAAATCTAAAGTGACAGATAATATGGAACAAAAATATTTTTAAAAAGAGACAGTTATTGTGGAATAGAGAGAGTAATATTACTGTGGATGACAGTAATATTACTGTCAACCACATCAATATTAATTCTTTTGGCTTTTTATTATATTTGCCTCTGTTGAACGGTCAACATATTAATATTACTCCATTACACAATAATAATGATTTTTGTTGTGTTAATATTACTGTGCTAGAGACTAATATAGCAAGGCTAAGTAAGGCTAATTTCCTATAAAATCATGACAAGGCTAATTAGCCAATTAGATAAAAGTCCTTTAGCTTTTATAGTGACGGAATTGCCCTCAATGTGATTCGCCCTCAATGTGATTCGCCCGGAGTTTAAGGATAGAAAACACCTGTTTTAAATGTCGGGACCATCGTCGGGATTATACGTGAATTGATGTGCAAAATTCCCCCCAAACTTGACTTGGGCAATTCGTCGAACACCTTGTGGGCGTTCTTGGTGGAGTGGGTTTGTGGAGAAAATTGCACCTTTCTTGAATCCCCCCTGCGCAAATCAACAAGAAACCACCACGATTAAGAAGTATGTGTGTGCAATTGGTGAATTTTCGGTGAATTTGGTCCAAGAAAATTGAAAATTTTGAAAAGAGGGGGGTTAGGGTTCGAATGAGGAGAGAGGGGAGAATTGGAATTGTGAAAATTGGGGTTTGGAAAACCCCTATTTAATCTGCCTGTTTTTTTCCTCGGACGGCCGTGCGAGATATAGGCTTAATATCCGCACGGCCGCACCAATTGTCAAAATTGGGCAGAAGCTGCTCCAAGTCTCGGACGGCCGTGCGGAATTCCAGTTCTTTTTTCGCACGGCCGTGCGGTTTCACGTTTTTGTCCAGTAGCTCATTGAAAATCTCACACGGCCGTGTGAGATTCCAGTTCTTTTTCTTGCACGGCCGTGTGAATAGTTGCAAAAATTGCAATTAAGGCCCTGAAAAATAAAAACTTCTTATTAGTGCCCCTGAATTTTTTTTTTTTTTTTTTTTTTTTTGAAAAATAAAATAAAATAAAAGCAAAACTAAAAATATAAAATAACATAAAATAAAAACAAACGAAAGCTCGGGTTGCCTCCCGAGAAGCGCTAAGTTTACAGTTTTCAGCCGGACTTTGTCTGCTTCTTTGTTCAAGCTAACGTGACCAAAGTCACTTGGCGATTGAATTCCTCTCCCCAATAATGCTCGTTTGGTTCTTTAGGTGGCCACATCCACCTTGCACGTTCATCATTATTATCACCCCGACTCTTTTGACTGTTTCTCGGCGGAGTTGAAATTGAGCTCGCACAATAAACTTGCTCCGTCCGACTATCTTTTCCGCCACCATCTCCTGCACTCAAAGATCCTTTCCCACGGTCTAAGATCAAAGCGTCAAAATCGTCATGATTTGTAAAATCCACAAGATCCATAACAATCATTATCATCACTTGGATTTTTATTAGTGCTAAAAACGTTAAATTTGACCGTTTGATCATGCACCGTCATTGAAAGATCACCACTAGCACAATCAATTAGAGTTTTTGACGTGGCTAAAAACGGTCTCCCAAAAATAAGAGGTATCTCCCTATCTTCATCTATGTCAAGTATAACGAAATCAACAGGGAAGATAAATTTGTTCACTTTTACTAGCACATTCTCTAAAATACCTTTTGGGTAAACTAAAGATCTATCGGCCAATTGAAGAGTTATAGCCGTAGGTTCAATTTCCCCTAACCCAAGATTTTGATAAGTCGAATAAGGCATAAGGTTAATGCTAGCACCTAAATCAATGAGCGACCTAAAAGTTTTACCTCCTATAGTACAAGGGATAGTGAACTTACCTGGATCGTCGAGTTTTTGTGGAAGGGGCCGTGTAAGGATTGCACTACATTGTTCCGTGAGTTGGATCATCTCGTTCCCTTGCAATTTCTTCCTCTTTGTCACGAGATCCTTGAGGAACTTCACCCACTTTGGCATCTTTTGAAGGGCTTCAATAAACGGGATATTTATTTGGATTTCCTTCAGCTTGTCCAAAAATCTTTGATACTCGGTATCGAGCTTCTTCTTCATTAGCTTCTGAGGATATGGAATTGGAGGGGCTCGTGATTTCACTGGAGATGATAGTGGTTCTTCGTGAGTTGCTTCTTTTTCCCCCATCACGCTCGGCTCCTCGATTACCGTGTTTTGCTTCTCTTTTCGTGGGGCTTCCTCCAATTGCCTCCCATTCCTTAAACTCACAGCGTTGCACTGCTCGACGTTGTTCTTCCGAAGATCTTCCGTGTTTGATGGCAGTGCTCCCGATGGCCTCGCTGTTAGTTGGGTTGCAAGTTGACCCATCTGTGTTTCCAAGTTTCGGATGGAGGCTTGGGTGGTTGTCATGAACTGCGCCAAGATGTTTGCGAGATCTCCGCCTTGAGGTTGAGCTTGAGGCGGATTTTGGAATCCGGGCGCTGGTCGTGAATAATTAGACGGTTGACCTTGAGGTGGTGCTTGCCTTGGTCCTTGCTGATTTCCTCCCCACCCAAAGTTAGGGTGATCCTTCCATCCGGGATTGTAAGTGTTGGAGTACGGGTTCCTCTGTTGTCGGTTGGTATCATGCACATAATTCAGAGACTCCGTTTCTTCTACGCGCTGGTCGGGACTTTGGACTGCGTGGACTTGTTGAGCCTGTAAAGCCGCTACTTGCTTCGATAGTTTCTCCAATTGGGCCGTGATTGCAGTGACTCCGTCTAACTCCAAAATTCCTCCCGTCTTGACTGCTCCGCTATTCGACCGGTCCGATGCCCGCATGTATTTATTTCTAGCGATTCGTTCCAAGAGCTCGTATGCTTCGTCGTAGGTCAAACTCATGAACATACCTCCAGCTGCAGATTCGAGCACGGTTCTCGAGTTGTCTTGCAATCCATCGTAAAATATTTGCAGTTGGCGCCACTCTTGAAGTCCGTGATTCGGGCACCTCCTTACTAGCTGCTTGAACCGCTCCCACGTCTCGAATAGTGCTTCACCGGCTTCTTGTATGAAATTTTGAATTTCTCTCCGGATTCTCTCAGTTTTTGTTGGGGAGTTGTATGTGTTCATGAAAAGTTGCGCTAGCTGGGCCCAAGACGAGATGGAGTGCGGTGCGCGAGTTTGCAACCATTCTCGGGCTGCTCCTTGTAGGGAGTGCTTGAACAGGCGGAGTTGCAGTGCTTCGGGTGTTACTCCGTTCATCTTGTGCGAGTCACACGTTTCGAGAAAGTTGACCAAGTGAAGATGTGGATCTTCATGAGCCAATCCGCTGAATAGACCATTGTTTTGGAGCATCGTGAGGAGTCCCGCTCGAATCTCGAAATTGTTGGCTTCAATGGGGGGCTGCTGGATGCTTGATTGAAACCCATTAAGCGTTGGAACGGTGTACTCATGCAGTGCTCGTTGACGAGGCGGTGGATTAATTAGCTGGCGTTGCTCTTGCTCGTTGACGATTTCTCTCGCCACATTCGGTGGGCGCCTTTGGTCACCTTCTCCTCAGTTATTCTCGTCTTCCATCGTTGCCGGAGTGTTTTGAGCTAACCGTTGATTTCTCCAGGCTTGCCTAAACGTTCGCTCAATTTTGGGATCAAGAGGTAGCAGGCTCGTGTCGTGTCCTCTTCGCATAAAAAGTACCTAAAACAAAATAAAAAAATAATAATTAAATAAAATAAAAAAAATTGGCTGAAGTAAGAAAAATTGCTCAAATTTAATATTAGGATAAATAAATAATTTAGCCGTATTCCCCGGCAACGGCGCCAAAAACTTGTTGGGTGCTAAATACCAACACGCAAGTGTACGTATCGCAAAAAAGTAGTAAAGTAGACTCGTGAGAGTCGGATGTCGATCCCACAGGGAATACGCAAATTATTTAATCCTAAGTACCAAATCCTAACAATTGTGATTTTTATCCAGCCTACGCAGGGTTGTCAATTTAATTAAC